TTAAATGATAGGGTTCAAACGATGCATAACATTCATTTTCATGCTTGGCGGGTATTTGCAAGCACCCAATCTTACGGAGAAGCAAAAAATCTTGTAAGAAAGCGTTTACACTCGAAGACACCATAGATTTATTAGTGGTGCATCTCTTCAGTCAGGCTAATTTATGCATTTCTATTAAAATAATATTTAAAAAATTGTGTCAGCTTAAAGTAACAGAAAAGAATACAACACATGCAGTTTATGATCACTTCTTCATAACATTACTTTCAATATAACATCTGTATATTTTGTCACTTATGGAAAAAGCAGATAAGTAAACTGGTTAATCTTGCCCACCACACACATACTATGCTCTTTCACATGAATCCTGAAAACAGTTTCATAAAACATCTACTATGTTAAAAGCATTCAATGGGACAGTCAGATTCTTTGTAAAAAAAAGATTGAAATTTCGATGTGCAGGCATGGAGGAGAAAGTAGATATATTAAGAGCAATGGCTCAAGTTCATTAGTTAGGGGTATGTTTCATGATATATCTATAAATTTACAATTCATTTCAGTTTTATCCTCAAATATATCTCTGCACATAAGCTTTGCTCTGTCACTTATCCTATTTGTTCAGGATGCTGGGCTATATTGCCAAATCAGTTCACATCCCCAGAAGTTATACTCAAACTGAATAGTATTCTGCTCAGGCCTGCAGATCATACTGCATACGGCTCTGATCACTATGATATAAGGGTATGCCCACACCCTAGAGGCAGTAAAGAGGACAGCAACAAAGATGATTCCCAATTTAAGAGGAATAAGCAATGATTCAACAAGCCAGGATTCTTCAGCCTTGAGAGGAGACATCTCTAAAAAATCTTTCAGAGATACATAAGATTTTAAATGGGATTGAGAAAGTAAACCCAGAACAATACATTTAGATATGCCAAGGGAGCAGAATAAGAGGGAATAGGTTTTGGGATGCAAAGGGCAGGATTGACGCTAGGAAGTATTTCTTTACTATTGAGGCCAGAACCCTGGACTCATTTTAGAAACAGCTTGATGCTAGAATGGGAGGATTTTAAAGGTGGTATTTGAGAAAAATGAGATCAAATGTGCCATTTGGCCTTCTTCATTCAAATTTCTCTTGTGATGTTGTGAGCTGGGGCAGTATTGAGTTTGCAATTCCATAAATTTGGTCTTAATTTGGGAGCTGGTTTGTATTAGATCTCAAATAAAACACACAAAATTAATTCCCAATTAAGACAGAATTTTGGGAAACTCTGAAATTTTAAGAAAAAGCTGTACATCTAAAACCAGGCGGAATTTCAGACCACTGGTCGATAAATGTAAATCACACCAGAATTGTCATATTTGGATCATTTTACCTTGGTTGGATCTGAACTCAACGCAGATCCACACTTTGGAAAAATAGGTCATACACTCTCATGGTTTCGAGAATCTGAATTTCATAGATGGGGACTAAGCTGACAAGAGATAACTAAAAGATGTACATTGGCATTGGCTGGGATAAGCAAAGTGCACTAACAAATATCCAGATGTTAAATCTTCAATGAGCATACAGATTTCATTATTGTCATTAGATTACAGATTTATGTTTTTATTGTTTATTAACATCTGATTTTGTTTTGTTCTGCTGTGTCTGTGGTTCTCCTATTTTCTCTTTGGGATAACAACAACAACAACAACAAAATGACATTTATAGAGCGCATTTCACGCCAGGAGGACGTCCCAAGGCGCTGAAAAAACAGAGGATCTGAGACTGTTTTCCTTCGGCTTAAAACCCGGATCGCATCCAATCGCAAAGCTTCCTAAGGGTTGCCTGTGGATGAATGTTTCTTGCCTGATTGATGTAATGTATAGTGTGACAGGCCAACTTGCAGATTGTCTCCATCTAACAGACAGATGAGGCTGAAGCTTATCTTACAGTGTGAACTCTGTCTACAGTGGTTATCTAACCTCTAACACACTTTAAGACTGCAATACAATCTGCTGAATAAACTCAACACCCCATATAGCTTCTTGAATAGAAATGAGTGATAAACCGTACAATTCTGCAGCTCAAAGACAGAGGTGAATGCATGGATGTGATCATTATGTAGAGAATATAATTACTAAGTCCATTGGGACGTCCCTTAGTGTTTATCAACAGTCAGCAGATAGAATTATTGACCCTCCTGCTAGACAGGAAATGCGACTTCTATTGCACCATTGTGTACCGTGGAACATTCCCACTGATGAAAAGCACTGCTCACACTCCACATTTCCTTCTCAAACACGCAAGCTACATCCATGCAGCAAAAGTGTTAAACCTGAACTCCTAATAATTTGTTAGCATTAATTTGTAAGCTTTAACCATAAGAATGAGATAAGAAGTTATTTGTACCTCAATGTACTGATCTTGTAGCACTGTTGCTCTGATAATTGTCTCTCGTTATAAAACATTAACCATGTTTTACATATTACATGATATCTTAGTAACACTGTGATACTGAATCTTTGAACTACAGATGTAACCTTAAAACCTGCAGGGAAGGGGCATTTGTTTCTTTTCACAGAACATAGCTTTTTAAAATGTGTTAAATTTATTTCAATGGATACTAACAAACATGCTTCAAGTTTTTCTCTTTTTCTTTCAAATAGCCTACTTTATGCAGAGGATTGGGTCTCAAAGTGTTTATTCCACTGTCCAGTTCTGAACACACAAATCGATTGGCCACAATGCACATGTATTAGGCTGCAATATTACCCACAGTTGTGAAGCTGAACCAGAGGTCCAATAAAATGGCTTTTACGATTTAAAAATCTCATTGGCGCACGCAAGTATGATAGATGTATTGTGATGGACAAATTAGGCTCAAGGTCATAATTAGAAAACACAGATGACAGGTGGAGGTAAACTACACACAAATCTAATGGTGATATGAATGGTTTGGAAAGACCCAAAAGGAAGTAAAGTTCTCCAAGCATGCCCATAAATCTCAAATCTCTGCCTTTTATCTAAGCTTGGAAAGACAGCTCATTATGGATAGCTGCCTATCTAGGAACAAAAGTAGGTCCGGCTGATGATTTCCAACATCAAGCTATAGGCTTCTAGTAATTATTTTGATCACTAGTTTTCAATTATTTATGCAGCTGTTGGTCCCCATAGATTAACTCAATCTGCCCCGGCAGAAACGAGCTCTGCTGTTATGTTTCCACTGCACAGAGAAAGAAAACAAAACACGCCTAATGCAAAGCACACATGGGAAGCACTTTATTATTTCATCATCCTCACCTACTGAGATCTGGCACTGTTACATGCTTAGGAAGAGCCTTTATATAACGTGGTCAAACAGGCTGCCAGTTTGTAATTTCCTCTCTGCTCATTCCAGAGGAATTCGGTTCCCATTTCCTTCTGGCACACCATGTTTCTCAACCCCCTTTCCACACAAGCAATGCCAAGCTGTTATTTACTTAACCACATAGTGGGCTGGAGGGAAGAGAGAGGGAGAGAGAGAGAGAGAGAGAGAGAAAAGCAACTTATGTAAAATAAAAACTGGGATTTCTTATAATTATGTCCAGGAACAAAAAAACTTTTCCGTGCATTTATAATTCCATTATCTTGCGATGAAAAAGTTCAGAGCGGTAGATGAAAAGCTGAATTTTGAAGCGAAATTCTAAAAACCTTTGTGATTGCTGAGGCATATAATGATCTCGAGAAACCTTTAATTTCATCACTTTTAACCACTCACCATCCCGTAAGCATTGCAGCCTGGAAATGTTTTCATCGGAATGAACATGGTAACAGATAACTTCACGATTCACAATCCTTAAGACAACTGCAGTAAGCAACAGGCCAAACAGGATAAAAATATTGGGTATAAACAGAAAGGAGTTTAACCACACATAATCTCACCCAGAGAGTGCCTAAAATGAACCATACAATGTGTGCATTAGTTCAATTGCTAAATATTTATTGAGGAAATTTATACAAACAATTTTCCAAAAAACAGATAATTTGCAGAATTTGAATTTGTGGCCTAATAATAATTTTTAGGTTTCCATTAAAAAAATGCATGGAGAAAATTACCATTTGCTGTTAATCTTTCTTGTTTTTCCATCATTCAATGACAATTTTCCACAATATTTGTTTCCCATACCTATTTTAATTTTCATAGCATTGGTGCAGTATTTCAAAATTAAGCCAAAAGCACAAATGTTATTTCTACTTTCTTTTTGCCTCAAGCTCTCAAAGTGCTATTAGAATATACCACAGTTCATGTTGATAGCTTCATCACACAGGAATGCTCCTTAAACTAATGAACAGTTTTAATAAATCACTAGAGTTAAATCTGTTTTATATCATCGACACAGACAGACAAGCACTTTTCCTGCACAGAGGAGATCGTTAACAAGGTAACAGGAAGTGCAGCCTGAAACAAAAGGTATTCATTTAAATGCACCATTTCTCATATCACGAGTAGCACTGCTGGAATTTTCCAATAGAAAAGATGCTTAAGCGAACCTCAGTTTTCATCCCCCTCCCCATTCTTCTCCTCACTCCCTTGCCGGCAGCTCAAAAACTATTGGGAAAAAATACCCCCAATCTGTGCGTGAGATGCCAGATTAACTATTTAAGATTTGCAAGCTGCCTTTTGGTTTCTAAGTGAATTTACCTTCCTTCATCTCTTGCATCTAAGATTATAATCTACAAGCATTGCACTGCTTATGATAGAACACAAAACAGGAAGCACTGAATGTTTCTTTTCACTATACAATATAGTGAAATTAATATTTCACCTTTTCTCAGACAATACACAAATATAATTCCAATTCTCAGACATCTGCAAGACTATCTTGCGTGGTAGAATGCGTCAAAAGGTATATTTCTCTTACTTATTTCTCTTTCTGTGTCATGACTGGTAATTAAAGGGAACAAATGTAATGTCGAATAATTGTCCAAACCTTTGGTCCTCACTGTGAATCTCTTCTCAATCTGAATAACTTACCTGAGCTCAGCTGTCACACAATGATCCTCTCGAACTCTTTCTCTGCCTCTGTTGGAAGATTGTGCTCTAAAATCTTTGGGGTAGCACAAAACAGAACAGAATCAAATTCACAAAACTAACGAGACATAAATGCTGGGCTTTTTGATACCATAACGGATGATGTTGCCTTTCAACTCATCCAGTTTTCTAAGTGATTGGTTGGCAGCTGTACTTGGTTAGATGTCAAGGAGAAGGAGGAGGAGGAGGAGGTTGTCATCCTTTCTGAGTCTGTCCATTTCTGTTTTGCTAAATTATAGGATAATTTTGGCTTTAAGAATGTCTTCCGAGTCTGTCCAGGAAGACTGTGCAACTGAAGTGTTTGGTTATAGAATTTCCTTTTAAGGGAAATCCTGAAATTTAGGAGAGTGTTGGTCTGAAGGAATAATATAAATAATATAATCCTTACATTTGATATAGCGCCTTATCACGTCTTTGAGATGTCTCAAAGCGCTTCACAGAATATACTGTAAAGTGAATTGACTGTGTATTTTGTGGATGAAATGGAAGAATACATGTATTAATTCATTATCGAGCCCCATCATAAATTGAAATTTATTTTCCTATCAGCTATTCTGCTTATTTAAGAGCAAACACATTTTGAAAACTAGCATTTCTAATATGTTTTTAGAAAGGCAAAGACCAACTCGAACATATTCAAGATGACTTGGGACACTTTACAAGACAGGAAAGCATTGTGCTGGGGATACTTTGTATTGTTATTTTGTTTTCAATAAGCATCTTAATGATCATATATTAGGAAGCAGAAGAAGGTTCAGTCTACATTTGTTAATGAAGGTTTACAAAGAAGGTTTAAAATGAAGGTTTGCAATGCAGTGCATGAATATGAAGTGAAAACTGCACGAGGATAAACTCCTACATCATAGATGATGCTGTAAACTGTTTGGAGTTTTAAGTACAGAAATATTAAATCAGGCAGAATATATCTGTATTTAAAACTCATTCACCCTCCCAGAATCACAGTGCCCTTTCCAGACTCCCTCCTTCCCTCTCTCTAGACCATCAGGAATATCAAACCTATACATAAATCATGTGGTGTCATCATGGAGATCAAACACACACGTGCATGTACTCAAACACAAATCAAACACACACATGTGCATGCACTTACACAGATCAATTACACACACACATGCCCTCGCTCAAACACACACATCGATCAATCACACGTGTACATACATTTACACGGGCCAAGATTAATCACACGCACATACACTCACACGTACAAAAATAGGAAATAAAAACAATCAAAATGTTTTAAAAGATTTATTTGCCATTCTCTTTCAGCCACCATGATAAAGACCACTGTATGTGAGACAACAACAACAACTTGCATTTATATAGCGCCCTTCACACGGGGTAGCATCCTGGAGTCATGGAAGGCTCTCGCTTTTGGAGCAGTGTCATACTACTACTGTGCAGGAATGGAACAGGCGACTGCAACAACATGCAGGCAGTAGTAAAATGACACCACTAGCACCTCAACTCCTTTTTTGCACAGGTAAAGCAATTTGTCATGCTTTAAGCCCACCACTGCTTCCTCGAGCAGTGACTATGGGAATATCTGTAAAATGTGGTTCCCTGCTGTATCTTTATGTATTAATATTCGGTTTACTTTCCCGGGGGATACTGAAGGCTGACACAATTTCCTGGAATTATTTAAACGGCACAGATAAAATCTCATTTACACCAACACGCAAAGGAACTCCAGGTACCACCGAGATAAGGAGTGATGGCAACACGTTGTGTTAGGACATCACAACATGCCACGGATGGTGTGATTTGAGCTTTAGCAATGATCCCACTACCTCACTACATGTGTGCTGCAAGTGGGGGCAAAGCCTGGCAAAGTCACCTGTGAAACTTATCATGTAAATCTAGGTGCTGACGTAAACTCAGTGGTGACCACACTGCTAAGAAACAATCTAGAACTGATGAGATGGCCTTTGTGATGGTGCATTTGTGCAATGTTTGTACGGATGGTTCTCTAGCCACTAGTACCTCAACTGAAACGGTATGATTTTGTTGATGGTGAAGGCAGAGACTTTTTAATACAATAAGTAGTTACACACTGAGGGATCTATACCAACAAGGGATACTGTGAGTCATTATGCAAGGCAGGCAACAGTATTGGATTTAACCTGGAGTAAAGTGCACAGTGTAAACAGCAAATAGTGTCGTGGGCCCTCCTGGGCAACTATATATTCTCATTCTTGCCTATGCTGACGTCAGCACCAAGTTTTGCAGCGGATTGAAACACAAGCAAGTAGGATTTTATTTAACAATGGGCATGTTGTTAACTGTAATTGCTCAGGCAGTAGTTCTTTTTCCGACTCTTTCAAATGGATCTACAATATGGGCCACAGGGGTAAATTGCTCTGGAGCCAGTGCTTTTCAGTAAGATGGTATACACTCAGAGCTTTGAAGTAACCTGTTCAAATGCAGTCAGTCGTGGCAATCACCTCTTCCTGATACCTTCTGAGGCGTATTGTGTGTGCTTTCCCACTGAGGCCTGGTAGTTCTCGGTGACATCATCCCAAGCTCAATTGGGAACTTATTTTTAATAATTCATCTTATTGCTCACTTTGACACGTTGCAAAACGATAGGTCACAGTAACAAATGCAAGATTATTATTATTATTTTGAGCATTATTGGTTATAAAAAGGGTTAACAAGCAATTAGCAAGAACAACATGGGACAATATCACCCAAACACTCTTAAAAACCATTGCTATTACCATGAGATAGAATGAAATAGAAATGAGTCATGAAAGGGAGGTAGAATGAACACATCTGACTGAAGTGGTGTGGCCCATACTCCTGACATACTTACAAAAGCCTTTGTAAGAACTACTTTTCACTTCGGAGAACAGGAATGTTCAAACATGCGGTTCATGCTGTTACTCTGCTGCCAATTATTAACGAACAGTAATGGTATTAGGTTTCTGACAGAATATATAAACAGCTTACTGCTCTGTGAAACACTTTTCTGTTAAACCACTAATATTTCAGACTAAACAAAAACTCCTGTCTCCGACTCACAACGTTAGAATTTATCAGACCTTTTTAAAGCTTTCTTTTGTTGTTCACTTATCCAAATGGTCTAATCGTGTACATCAGTATGAGATATGCATTAAAGGCATAACAGGCAAGTTGAAACCTAGCACCAAATCTAACAGCTTTTATGACTTTCCTTGATGCATTACAATCTAAAATTAAAATGTAACCAAGACAGCAATTGTACATTTTCGCACCCCTCTGGCTATTGAGAGGCAAAAGAAAGAAAAAGCACAACATTCTTCCTCTGAGATTTCCAACCATCAGTTGGAACTGGTGGCACAGAAGCACAGAAGCTCCTTTGGCAAATCACACTGGATTAGCTCGGAGACTCTCTGTGGTTTATTTTTCATCCAATTTCTCCCTGATCTGTTCCAGTGATGCTGAGACGTGTTGGGTTACAGTACAATGGGTGGCAGCTGTTCTCACTCACCTTTCCCGAATGGTCATTCTTTGTGTGTGAGCCCAGATTGTAAGTGCTGGTAGCAACTCAATTCAGGGCACATCTTAATCTTGTTTTCATCCAACATGCAATTTTCAGTAGAGGTCACTGAATAGTGATCAGATACAGGAAACCTGGCTGATTTTCTCCTCCCTAACCCAGGGATGCTGAGGCTAATTGTTCTACCCCTAACGTCCTTGCAGCTGACGTTAACTAATTAAACACAGCCTAGAAACACTATGCCATTGACAAGTCAAATAGCACATTGCATTCACTCCAGAACGGAACCATATATCTCAGAATATACTCATGAGGTTTCATCACGAAAGAGGCAGTATGCATCTTAAATTGCTATCCTGCCAGGCACTCACACATGCACCTGTACAAAATTATCCAGCAGGAGTCTAGTGATTTCCACTTATTCCCCAATGTACCACCAAAAATCTGATACTATCATCAGTATTAGACTGTATAATGTCGACTATGCAACCCCTATGCAACATAATGTCAACCCAGGGTTGTAAATACTCCTGCACTTCCCTCCCCACCCTTTCTAACACTGATGATTTTCTGCTTTGGGTTTACAATATACAATATCATCGAAGCAATGGAAAGAATGAACGACCCATTAGTTCCAAATCTTAGATCTTTGACCCTAGGACACTTAATCAGTTCACATTGGCCAAAAGAAGATGAATAGGGTTTTTATCAAACAACATAGAAAGAATGAGTGTGAAAGTGGAGAGGTACTACAGTATGTTTCAGAGCATTTGAAGACAATCGGAGGCCATCGAGTCACCATTGGGGTGTTGGGTCGGCGCAGGAAGAAAGGAAGAAAGAGTTGGATTTTAAAGCTCAATGGTAGGCAGACGATTTCAGCAAAGTGATGATGATGTCAGGGTCTGTTTACTGCTCAATACAGAGGGCAGATTAATATGATAAAATATGAGATGATTTTCTGAAGTGGTTTCAGTGCAGTGACATTGATATTCAGTGATATGATGGTGAGGAGCTGATTGCTAGGCAGTAGGCAATTTGCCTTGCCAATACCCCTCTGAAGGGTCTCCATCCTCCCACAATGACAGTTCTTTTTATTTAATTTGATTTGCCACAAAAATACACAGTCAATTCACTTTACAGTCTATTCTGGGAAGCGACTTGAGATGTCTCAAAGATAGAGAATTATTATTACTATTATTAATTGCCCCAGACTCTCTTTGCACCAGGCTCTTTCGTACTTTCCTTCGTCCTCACACCTGCCAGGTCTTGTACAGAATACCTAAGAAGAGAAAAGCTTCTCCTTCAGAGAATCCAAAGAAATAAATGGTTTGTATGCCAGGTCCCATGGAATCCGGACCCCATACAAAGTGACGGGACTCCGGTCATGACGGGACTCCGGTCACTTTGCCCCAACTTCGGAAAGTATTTTTTCAGTGTCCACAAATGGATGTTTTTTTAAACTTACTAAAACTGTTCTTAGCAATAACAAAATGAGACTCAGGGGCAGGAGATGAACA